GCGCGCAAACCTGTCATATTCCGGGGCACGGCAGCAGCGTTCACTCAATCCACCATAAGGGGCCAGTGAAAAGTATGATTATGCAACTTGAACAATGTGGAAAATAGGCATCAGCATGGGCACTATATGTAGAGGACAGTGGACCTGCCCTTGTCCGAGCAGGCTGCTTCTGGCCATTCATTGCCCATAGCTAGAAATGGGACGGGTTTGCATCTAAGATGCCCGTCACCTTTTTGCGGGGCAAGTTACCCAATGCTTGGCAGGTACAACCCGTTATAGTACATTTATGAATATGACCTCACAAAGTTCATTACTTTTTATGCAGAGCTGGTATCACAGTGTGGACGGGTGTAGTGGACTTACCCCGCAAAACCTAACTTCGTGAAACGGATGCCCGTAACTCGGACCATACCGTAATGGCGTGCAAGTACAGACCGTTTATACCGATACTCTTTTCGCGGCCGTTTTCCGTTGAAAAGCCGATTCATGTGACCCTAGAGGGGTCATGAAGGTGCCCAGTGGACAGGAGCGCCTAGATCTGGGGACCTCTACTGCAACGGGTATCTCTGTGCTGTATTGACCAGCCCATCTTCAGCTCAGGGGCGGGGGGGGGGGGGGGGAGGGGCATGCTCAGCTGGCAGGGCAGGTCCGTACCACACGGTATGACCAGTACCACCATGGTCATACTACTTTTCGTCCAGGATGGTCTGCCCAGAACACCGCCTGTAGAGCGTTAAAACGTGCCTTGTTGGCCAAAAATCCGATTTTTTCCCCGGGGTATACCCCGCACCCCACCCCCCCCACCCCCTCCCAGTTGTACCTCCCCTTACTGCACTGTGGCGCCCCTGCTGCCGGAGCATGCTCAGTCCGGACGACAATGTTCAGCTGGCTGGGGACCATCTACAGATATTTAACCGGACCAGTAAGTCGGAAAGGATGAGCAGCAACTAAGCACCCAGGTGACCTTAGTACGAGCGATACGACGAATTCAAGAATGCACCGCACCGATTCTGTGTATAATAATATTCGCGGGATCCGCGCTAGCATCACTTGAATGTTCAGAAACACACAAGCTATAGCCTTCGCTTCCGCAGGCCACCACTATGCCTTTTCACCTCTGTGTATTGCGTAACTATTAATTATTCATTACATACTTACTGTTCGACGGTAACGCTGAAGCCATCTTTTAAACTTCCAATCGTCACTATCCCGTGGGTTGGGATGCCCACAAAATTGATATAGGAGGACACTAGCGGTTGGCTGCTACCATACGCGTCTTCGCCTGGACCAGTCAGCGTTCTGTACAACAGCGCTAGCGGGCTAGGACATCTGGCCAAACGAAGCCTGCAACTGCAACTCGACTGCTGGACTAAAGTCTAAAGACAGCGGCAGTGAGTATGCGACGGATCGCCTGGTCAGGCCACGTATCGCCTTGGCTATCCCTTCCCAAGTAGGCTTTACCCATCCGCCACTGGTCGTAGATTTCACAGCTTATCGTAGCTGCTGATGCCGAGGCTATTTGCTGACAAAATTCTGCATTGGAATATTTCTACGGCTTTCGTACCGACAATCGAACCGAGTCAGTCCTGAGATTTTATTCAGTATCTTCACTCAGTTCCACAAACTGCAGGAACCTGTTTCGCTTCAGCCCTCATCCAGTGCACCACCACGCAGCAGCCTGTGCTTGAAACTAACTTGGCAAGACTGTACTGGGCCAATCGGCAACGGAGACGAACTAGTTCAACGACGTGCCAAATGAAAAAAAATGGAAATGTTTCGGTCGTGAGTCGATCTTCAAGTTCAAGTCGTAGTAGACCTACGAGTCTACTGAAGCCACTGACGTTTTGTGTTTGCTGCACGAACGAAAGTCGAAACTGTGAAAGCTGGCCGGCTGGGGCGCCAGGCCGGGTAGTTTGATAGGGGAATCCCCTCTTCTCCATGGTCGCGTCGCGGACTCGCGGTCGACACCAGAGCGCGCGACACTCGTCGACATCGATGTACATTATAGCAATAAAAACTGCTTTATGGCAGCTTTCTAAAAAAAGTTATTGTGTTCTAGTCCTGGGTCCGGCATAGGCTATAGAAAATTTATAAAATTGCTTCCAAACTGGCTCCGTCTAAAAAGTAAGAAATTAACGAAATGTGATTGCCGAAAATTAAAATTTCACACAAAACCTCACAATAATCACAACACTTGACAATCAAATACTGCTTTCAACACTTGTTGACACTGTACTTGTACTGCACCAACATGCATGCATGGGAAAGAGGATCACGAAGGGAAAAGGTCTTGTTCTAGCTTTTCATCCTGTGTGTGATTATTGTGAGGTTTTGTGTGAAATTTTAATTTTCGGCAATCACATTTCGTTAATTTCTTACTTTTTAGACGGAGCCAGTTTGGAAGCAATTTTATAAATTTTCTATAGCCTATGCCGGACCCAGGACTAGAACACAATAACTTTTTTTAGAAAGCTGCCATAAAGCAGTTTTTATTGCTATAATTTCTTTTGTTTTTTTCTGTCACCAATCAATGGAATGCCCTTATGTAAATGATGGCCTTCACATCATATCAATACCGTATTATACGCATTGATGTGCAAGCCTTTTCTTGCAGAAAATGGCACCAGCATAATGCATGTTCTTCTGCTGGGGAAACATGTGGTTAGTGGTGGTGATACTTTTTTTATACGCAGGTCATTCTGTGCATGTTGCAGAATTTCATGACTTGTCATAAAATTGTCTTGCCTTTCAGATATTTCAGATTTCCCCACCCTCGATAAGATTTACTTGAGAAATGTAGCCAGGTGCGTGTCGCAGATGTTTTTGTTGATTCTGTGTTTAAAATTGTTTATAATCATGGGTTATCGTGATAAGGTCATCCTGCATCATATTGCACTGAAATCGTAATCCTGTTGATGTCGATACAACTTTTGGAAGTGGTTCAATGACTTCAAACTGTTAGTCCACGATTTTCTAAAACAACACAGCAAAGGAGGAACAATAAACATGTATTAAAATGTAAACAAATACATTGTTGAGTCCGGCACCTCGTTCCAACAACTACACTGATCCTGAGGATAAAAGGGGCAAGGCCATTGGAGGTTGGAGGTCATTATTATCAAATTGTCAAATTTTTGATAGGGCAATCCCCGTAGGCCTAAGGCCTTCTTACAGGGTACCCTGGAGGTACTGAGAGATAAACAAGGCACTCCATAATAATAAAATGTTACACATATTTTGCCGTGAGTATGAATGATATCCAGTCAAACCTCTTTAGGACGAACACCAAGGGACCGATGGTATTTATTCTGTGAGTTTGTCTTAACCTATTTATAACCAGTGAATACATTTCTCCAATAGACATACGAATAGATTTTTTCTACAGCGAAAGATTCTAAGCCACACCGACTCGTCTGAAACAAATGAGTCACTGAACCTTTCTTTAGCAACATGACGGCAACTGAAACAGCAACAGAAAAAGTACGATACATGTACAGCACATTCTTGCAGGTACTACAAACAGATTGCAGATCGTAATTTTTGCTTTGGCAGCACGCAACTTTATTTGGGGCAGTGCAATCTCGGCGGTACTCACAAATCAAACAGCCCAGACTCTAGTAAACAAATCCAATCATACGAGATTTTCACGAGACGAGACTGCACCCATTGGCTTGTTTCGTATGAAGCAAACAAGTCACTGAACCTCTCCATAATGGAGATTTTCCCTGATATGCGAATTTATTTTGCATACTCGGTCAATGGGTCCTTGAACCTTTCCCTCCAGATTGGGAACTGCCAACGATAGTATGCCACTGGCCAGTGCCTTACTTGTAATGTACCAATGTACAATGAACATGAGTATTTCGACAACACATCTAAGCCTCAGCAGCAACATACAACATAAGCCTTACCGTCAAGAAGGTGAACTCGCGTTCTTCGCACACTGTAGGCAAGGGCAAAGAGATAAAAATGGATCTAAATCCGAATAAAATCAGCACACGTTTCCGTAAATGAAAGGGTGAGCATAAGCAAATGAATCGAAGGAAACTGGTCAACTCAGGGATCACCTGTCATTGAGTATTCCGTAAAAGGAGGCCTCGGCAGCGGAAAAGCTAAATTTAGAAAGGAGATCCTGTCAGCTTTTCCATTATTTATTGCATTCCGCCCAAAATCAGCACACTTTTCGTAAAATTTAATGAAAGAGTCAACACAAGCAAATGAATCAAAGGGAACTGGTCAACTCACCTGTCATTGAGAAATATTCCGCGAAAGGAGGTCTCAGCAGCGCGGAAACGAAATAAGCCAGGCCAGGAGACGAAATATCCGAAACAGCTCATGCAAGAAGCAGTTCCAAAGAAGGAAGTTCTTCGTGCATGCACATCCGAAAAGGCAACAACTGCAACAAAAAGTCTGCAATGCACACGGCCAGCCGGCCGCGCGATGGTAGGAGCCATGGAGTAGCTCCCTGGTCCAGGACCAGGTACCGAGCATTTTACGTAGAAACTTACGTAGCTACGTAGACAACGTGTCTGAATAGCGGTGTCGTTAGGTAGCGCCATGTGAACACAATAATAGAAAAGCTGACAGGATCGCTTTTCTAAATGTAGATCTTTTTTTAGATCTTTTTTTATATAATTATATATTTTGAGGATATCCCAAAGCTTTAAAGACGTACTGTAAATATACAAATTTTCGGCAGCTATTTAATTTCGGCTATATTCGGCACCGACCCAAAACGCCTAAATTAAAATGCCGATGAAATTTTTCACAGCATCTGTCGCACTATACCATGCCCTCTACCCCACGCCGAAAATAAATCGCTGCTGAAATGTCAAAAATCGTGAAGTGCCGAAATTTTGCAGCGCCGAAATTGTGTATATTTACAGTAGTCTAATTATTGAAGGGAGTTCCATTATCATGATTATAGTGGGAGGCTGTAGGGTTGAGATAGCAGACAGTGGAGGGCTAATGATTGGTAATGAAAAGCCTAGCTAGAGAGACACAAGTATGCTGAATGTTCCAGAATGGTCCTTTACTCAATAATACCTATAGCCTCGGGGTATGCCTTGAAATACGAATTATACCGAAACAGAAACACAAAAATTAATAAGAATAAAGCGCAACGTTCAAAGAAGGAGGACAGAGGCATGTCAGTGAGGAGTGGCATCGTGTTCTCCACGTCGCCACCACGGCACCAGGGACTCGTCAAATATTTGACGAATCCCTGGTCGCCACCAGTCTTTTTCTTGTTTGGTGAACATGGACCATTGTCCATGATTGGTGCAGGGAGTCATGAAAGCCCTCCCTACAATGATTGTATAGGCCCTGCTGGTTTCGTTGGTCACCGGGCATTTCAGGACTCTGAGGAGTTGTAAAATAATGATTTTGTAATACATGTACAATCATGTACATGTAGTACGAATACAACTCCCTGGTTACCATACTACTGAACTGGTTATGCACACTTGATTTGATGCGGGGATCCAAAAGAACGAAAGAATACTAGCCGAGCTGAATAAGGGACATACAATGTACATACATGTATAGTGACCACTTTAAACACGGATCAGGAGAACACATTAATCATACAGAGTCAGTACATGTACCTGGTCTCAAATAGGCTTGAGATGATGGTTTGCCGGCGATAGCGGCAGACGACAATCTCCGAAGGCCTAGCCAACTGTTTAGCCTCACAGTTGCCAGGCTTGGTGTAGCCATCGTTATGGTAATAGTAATACTATAGATACTGTGCTGTTTTGAGAACTCAGCTACACTTGAGGGCACTACCACTTACCAGTCTACGATTGATGTATCTTACAAAGTAGTGTGCCTATAAAGGTCACCTGACTTCACTAGGTTCAAGGTTGCGACCTAGTTATTACAATATTAGGTCAGGTTTTCCAACTTACTTTCCCATGCAGGAATCACAAAGAAAGCTAAGGAGATCGATGCCCACACAGCTATCTATTTAAAAAGAATTCGGGTGGACACACCCATTCCCATAGCGCTGCACATCACATCCGAACCAGTTCCGTTATTTTTACAACGTTTCGGCACTTGGCCATCGTCAGGTAATAACAATGAAAACCTGACGATGGCCAAGTGCCGAAACGTTGTAAAAATAACGGAACTGGTTCGGATGTGATGTGCAGCGCTATGGGAATGGGTGTGTCCACCCGAATTCTTTTCACAGATGAAGCTGCAGGAAGCCTCAGCCCTTCTTCAAGCTATCTATTTACTTGTAAAATGATGCAGGCACTGAAGCAGTCTTCTCACGGCCGGGGCTGAAACGCTAGCACTTGTTTTCCTTCGCCTACCTTTGGTGTGAATGTTGTTGTTGTTGTTGTTTATTTTACTTCACCAAATGAACAGGCAGAGATGCCTTCTCACCTGCCCATAGGACAGGTTCTCACAGAATGATGAAGGGATGATATGCAAGGGAAAACAAGAAATGATAATAATATAAGACAGAAAGGACCAAAAGAAGAAAAGGAAAAAATTATATGAAGACAATTTCATGGAGTCAGAAATAGAAAGACAACAATTTCATGGAGTCAAAGAATAGAAAGACAATTTCACGGAGTCAGGAATACGTGGTTGATTTTATAGACATGCATGCACAAATGATGATGGAGCTCTTCGAAAGTTCGAAGCAACACTGACCTGCTTCGGTATGGTATTAATTTTAGCCGTGAAGTAACTTAGTGAAAGTGTGACCAGTGTTTCTTGATGTATTCAAAGTGTTTGTCTACAAGTTACTACTTCGAAGTACAAGTCAACCAACAGCTTCGGTGTTTGAGTTAGCACTTTTATCATTTTCTCACCTACTGTACATGTATAGTGTATGTTGCTCTGGGGTCTCTTTCTTTCTTTTTAGACTCTATAAACATGATTGTAGTAATTTGTACAGTGAAACTTGTCTAAGACGACTGCTCAGGGGACCTTCAAAGTGTGGTCGCTGTGTACAGGTGGTCTCCTTATCCAGGGTCGTTTGACGGAAATTGACAACCTTTGGTCCTGACTCCTGCATGGTGGTAGTGGTCCCCTTGGACAGGTGGTCGCCTTATCCAAGTGGTCGCCTTGACAGGTTTTACTGTACAGTGAGACCAGTCCAAGACGACCGCTCAAGGGACCTTCAAAATGTGGTCTCTGATACCAGGTGGTCGCCTTATCCAGGGTCATGTGACTGCAAATAGCATCCCTTGGTCCTGGTTGCGGTGGTCTTCTGGGACAGGTGGTCGCCTTGTCCAAGTGGTCGCCTTGTCAGGTGTTACTGTACATGACTGTATACAATCATGTTCATGTACATGTACACAGTGCTGGCAACTGAAATCCGACCCCCTGAGTGCCGGGTTCACACTTTTTGTAGCGCCGTGTTGGGTCTCAGTTGCGATGCGAGCTCACCGCTCAGGGGGTCGGATTTCAGTTGCCAGCATTGTACATGTACCGGTATGTGTCTTTCAAATTGTTTTCCATTATTCCCTGTACATTCCCTGTACTCAGATCCCGAAGTGAATGAAGCACTTCACTGCAGCTGTACCGTGTACGTATGGTTGACTCATACTGTCTGAGTCATAGGGTGGTAAATACATGCACATGTACACCCCTGGCAAATGGTGGTGCTGGTGAGAAGGAGAGCTTTGTGCCAGATTGTAACTTTTCAGATTGGAGGGCGTGTATTTAACAGGCGCGTGCGCCGGTGCCTTTCAAGGGGGGGGGTTCCGGGGGGCTGCCCCGGGAAAATTTTCAAAAAATGAAACAAAATCCTGCATTGTGAGCGAAACAGGGGGTTCCGGGCACCCAGGAACCCACACGGGGCACGCGCCTGATTTACCACCATTTGCCAGGTGTATACTTACTACCCTAGCATGAGTCAGCCATCTTGAAGAGAAGGGATTTTGCCCGGTCTACACAGGAGTCTGCTCGGTACAGGGTCCGGCAAACACGCAGAAACAGGCTCTACTACACATTCATAAAGTAGAGTCCTGTACACAGCCTAGCGCCGGGGTCCACAACAAATCGGCAACCGGATCATTTCAGGAAATCAAGTTGCAACATAAGATCAACTCGTGGTTGATGAAAATGGAAGGGCATTATGCCTACAATAATAAGGTTAAACGAGAGAATGGAAAATAGTAATAATGATCATCAGCAGACGCAATAGAACCGGAATTAATCAACTTGTTTTCTTTTGATTCCTGACACACGGGAGGAGATGGCTGCAATGCAATTAGTAAGGGGGAGAGAGAGAGAGAGACGAAAAAGAAAAGAAGAGGTAGGGTGGACGAGAATATGGTGTGAAAAACAGGGTGTGAACTGGAGCTAGAAAGAGAAATGTAACAAAGTAAGATATTTGGAATAGAAGTGACGCAATCTTCCATTAGGAGCCGCTAAAACACATAGAGTCGACATAACTGATGATCAACATTTCGAAAAGCGAACAGTGTCGGTCACTGCATCAAGCACTGCTCTTGCGTGAGCCAATTCTCAAATCGTCCAGGAGTAATAAATAACTAGCCTAACGCATATCTAAGTAACCGGATATCGATCGAGCCTAGTCGTATTAAAGCTTGAGAAGATGTTTTCTAGAAACCGTCACCTCACCAAGGCAAGCCGTTGATGAGGTAATGTTGTGACAATGGTCTTAGCTCGCCAGGATCTGGGTGTGAGGGCCGGTACACATTATCCGGCACTTTTTCGCTAGCAGACCGACACGGCTCACCACCCGTATTGAAGGAATGGTCCCCGGGTAGAGTCACGGCACTACATAGTTTGCACGTAAACACACACGGCACAAGACATGCCGTGTTCGGAGAGGGGGGACTGCAGGGTCATGCAACAGTCACGATGCCACGTAACTTCGTAAGTAGTTTGCTCTAATAACGTTCCTGAGTGCAAAGATCCACGGCACACATGACGTGTTCGGGGGAGGGTAAGGACCGCAGAAATCACCGGATGCGCTGTTAGGGCGGAGCGGTGAACTCGTCCGAGGGTCGTGTCTGCTGTACGGAGTGGTGCACTCGCTCGCGCCGACTATAGTCCGTACTCTCCACGGTGAGCTGAACCACGCTGAGATCGAACGGGACCTTCGGCTGCGTCACGATCACGCTCCGCTCCACGGGGGGAAATTGTGCTGCTTTTCCGTCGCCCGCCTTGCCGGGATCGGAGCGTCGACAACAGCCCTGAAGGCGCCGTGCTATCTGCGGTATCCACAGCGCTAGGGAGAACGACGTCTCACCGCCGCCCAAGCTGGGGTTGGCGTGGCCGATGTAGATGAACAGGATTAGCACACTGCACACGGCGGCCAACGCAAAACCCCAGTGGATCACGAACATGGCGATCAGGCACATGAAGAAGCCCAGCAACGACAGCCATCGGTTCGCCATGCGGTTGAGAAACCGGACGGCGGTCTCCTCGCGCCGCACACGGTCCTCCTCTAGCATGCCCAGGCGCTCCTGTAGGCGTCGCAGGCGCGGAAACCTACGGACTTTCCCCTGCGCTGCTGATCTGTGGCGCAGCCCTGAGCTGGTGTCGCCAAATACACTTTCCTCGCTCGTCGACTTGGCCGGAATCGGGTCGCTAATGAGGCGATCTTTCTCGGTGAAATGGACGCGGTTGACAGGCGGCGAATCATCCGGCTGGCTCTTCTCGCCTGGGGAGTGATTCTCGGCAGGATCGTCCCCCGCCGCAGTCGTATCGTCGATGCTTTCGGTCTCGTGACTGCTGGCAGTGCTGCTGGCGCTGCGGCCCCGGTACAGAGAGCCCAGGCGGTTGAGCGGACGCTTCGAGTCGCTGACGCAGGCGATGCCATCGTCGCTCTGCGCCAGCGAGAACGCCGCATAGTTGAGCACGGAGTAGGTGAGGAGAAAGGGCATGTTGATCAGGACGGCCAGCGTGTTAAGGTGGCCGACGAAGACGAAGACGAACGCCACCAGGCCAACGACCACGATGGCGATGAGCGGTTCCTTGTTGGGCCCGTGTCCCACGCCGATCACAGACAGCAGTGGCACGATCTTGGCGCGGCCCATGGCCTGCAGGACACGCGGCGCCCCGTAGAACACGGCCAGGCACGAGGACAACGACGACACGTACAGCCCGATCAGGAACAAGGCGCCCACTAGCGAGACGCGGTACTCGATCAGCGTGTCCGTCTGCAGGGCGTGCGCCGTGCACGTGGCGCCCAGCATGATCGCCATGGCGATCCAGCTGACGCCGCTCACCACCAGCGCCGACGCGGTTCCCACGGGAACGCTCCGGCCGGGGGTCTTCAGATCGCACGCCATGTTGAGACCGCCGGCGACGCCCGTCATCGTCGGGAAGAACACTCCGAACACGTTGAAGAAGGTGACGTCGCGGGTGAACGCCGGCGGCGTGTTGTTGTGCAGCAGGCTGGCGCTGTAGCCGAGGACGCCGTTCGAGGGCGAGTGCCGCACCAGCGTGCCAATCGTGAAGTCCGAGATGGCCACCGTCAGGATCAGCATGAGAATGAGTTGTAACTTTACGACCCAGCGTACCCCCGAGAGCACGACCAGCATCAGTACGAAGGTGGTGCCGAGCGCCACACCGCGGATGGGCCACACGCCGTGCCAGTGGAACAGGTCGGACATGGCCTCGCCAAGGCCGACGGCGTACATCGCCACGGCGACGGCGTGCCCGAACGCGTACACGATGCCGACGCTGCCGCTGATGCGCTCCCCGAGGACGAAGCCGATCATGGAGAAGACGTCGTACGTGGCCATGTTGTCCATGCCGGCGCCTGAGGCCTGGTGCATTTCCGTGTGCTTCACCTGGCGTTTGATCAAGCTGATGACTGACATGATGGTCACCACGCCGAGCACGATCGTCAGGAGGATGATGAGCGAGGCTATGCCCACGCCCGCGTACCCGATCATCCAACCCATGCGCAGGAAGATGAGCACGCCGAAGATGTTGATCATCACCGTCGTGAACACGCCGTCCCACGTGCCGAACAGCACCGGGCCGCGGATGAAGAAGTTCGCCTTCCACCACGGCTTGTGCGCGCCCGAGGCCAGCTGCTGCGCCGAGTCCTCTTCGAAGAGCTCGCGCGATCGGCTCCCGGCCCGCTCTCCCTCCAGCGATGGCAGCGTTGGGTCGCCTGCAGTCGAGTCCGCTCCGTCATCTTGGAGACGCTGATACATGGCACCGCTGGGCGAGCGAGCGCGTGACGATTCGCGCTTCGCGACTGGCCGGTACTCGACAGGGTGCCGCGCGGCTCGCACTGGATGTGGGAGCTGGCGGCAGTGTTGCAACGAATGGTTTCTATCTGGGGTGGATGCTCTGCTAATCACGGTGCACTTTCAGTTTGGTGCTTCTACCGCACACGTCCTAGCTAAGCTGGCACAGGCTGAGCTGACGGGGCACCATGCAGAGCACCCAGAGACACACTTGTGTCACTAAATAAATCTTAATAACACTACACATTGACTACACTCCTCCGCTAACTGGGTCTTGGGGCGGACAGACGACTCGATTTTACAAGGCCAGTGCACACATGCACACACTGTCATGTGTACGACGTCGTGTTCCAGGAGACGACTTCCACTGCACTGCCACTGATGCCTGCCAACAACTCCCCTTGCTCCGTCGTGGGTTAGCACCAACTCGGAGTCACTGGGTTCAACGGACCACCATCGGGACACTGCCAGTACGTAAAGCCCTTACTGGCCTTAGCAGGTGCGCTCTCCAGTCCACGTTCCGTCCCTCGCAGCCAGAGTCCGGAACGCAACTCGCAAGCGAAGCGCAGTTCACTAGCAGGCGAAATGAAAGAGAAAGAGTAACGCTTCACGCTTCGCTGAGCACGGTTGCCTCTTGGCACAATGTCGGAGGGTTGCGGACCCTGCCCGCTCCTGTTCGAGACTAACCAGCGCACTCTTTGGCAGCTGGCTCTCGGCTCAAATCCAGAAATGTTCGCTCGCCTGGCTTTCCACTACACCGAGAAATGAACCAGTGGCAGTGATTGCAGCATGGCACACTTCAAGTTAGTTCTACGCTGCCTGTACTGGCTACGCGGTGTCCGCAAATGCCGATAGCCTCGACAGGGGCCGGACGGGCACAAATGCTGCTTGTACTGATGTGCGAGTCGGCGTTTCGTCGGCCAGGAAAGCTCCACAAGACTAGACACGGATAGCAAACCTTATGGCGGTGAGCTGATGCGCACCACTCACTCTCTGGTCGGCAACGACCAAAATACCTCTCGCACTCCGACGTGTACGTGTATGGGTACTATGAAAGTATGCTGGCCATATAGACGATATTCGATACTGACATAATTATACTGTATACGCAAGCCAAGCCCTTCACGTGCCACACGGAACCAATGAAAATGTTCTCCAGATGCCAAAATAATTATTTCAGCTGTGCAGAGCGCCAGGCAAGCGGAAACTGCGTTCCAAAGGTACTGTTACAACACCTGGTCGACCACCAGAGCAGTCCAGCACGACTCGTCGTTGCTTTCCTTCTCCGCCTGCCAACCCTGCTCA